TTATTTAAACCACGGTATTATTACTCCCGGGTAAGGGCCATGTGCTAAGGATATCATGAATTCATTAATTCAAACGTAACATATCATAACTAGAGCATTTCTTGATTATTTAGACTTGTTGGCCTTTAGCTCTTACATATATTGGCATTAAACTTGTTGACATTTAGCCCAAACATTATCATAGCAAACTTAAGTCAGAGTCTTACAGAATTCCAGAATCATAGGAGGGTTGTTTCATTCTTTCTCTTACTTATGTACTTTCCTTGAATCATTTACACAAACACATAACATTTATCTTCCCTTAATCATTTATATACATATAACATTTATCTTCCTTGAATCATTTACATACATATAACATTTATCTTCCTTGAATCATTTTTATACATATAGCATTTATCTTCCTTGAATCATTTACATACATAAATAACGGAATTAACAGAATACTAGTGGCAAGCATTAGCGGTGGTAAAGCGTACTACTACTCACAGTGTTCAGGTGCGTGATCCGTCTTTGTAGCTAATCCTACACCAGTCACGTAATTCAAGCATAATTCATCATAGTACAACATCATTTAGTTCATTAACACCATTTGTAACTTCACATAATTCACAATAAATCTTTGAATCCTATTTCAACATTCTAAAACCAAGTTCATATCATCTATATCCTTAATAGATTATTTCTCTAATTTTCCTTTACATGATAGCATGAATTTCAACATTTATAACAAGATTCATTCGCAAATTCTAAACATAAGTTCCAACATTCCCAAACTCCAATTCAACTTGAACACATATACTTCAATACTTTAATTCCATTACTCTACTTTCAACTTGAGCTAATTTTTTGGTTGTCATCATTAATCAACCTAGGGTTTCTAAGAAAATGAGGATTTTTAACAAAAAAATCAAACTTCTTAAATCATCACTTTTAATTCCAATTTTCCCAATGATTCTACATCTAGGATTCCCAATCCATCATTTAAACCCACCAATTTAACTCCCAACATCACAAACCCTAAAACCCCCAATTCTCATACCATACACTACATGCCCAAAATGAAAATTTGTACATTTATATAATGAAAACACCATAAATCTATCTATCAATATAAGTATTGAAGTGGATTAGAACCCCTACCTCAAGAACCAAGCAAGAAAAGTAAGCTTTAAGAAGAATCCTTCGCAATCCCGAATTCCAATCGGTTAAAAATGTTGATTCTCTCTTGTTCTCCATCCTTGATGTAAGAATCATGGTGGATTGTTGATCAAAGTAAAGGAAATCAAGGTTTTGGGGCTAGGTTTTCGGACCTAGAATGAGAGGAAAGAAGAGGGGAAAAGAAAATATCAAGAGTGATCTAGAAATCCCGATTTTAAAGCTGCTGTCCCGAAAATCCCGCTCGAGCGTCCCTATTCCCGCTCGAGCGGACCTGCTCTCAGCACAGATTTCAAAACTTCAAATAGATGTAACTCTTCCATCCGAACTCCGTTTTAGGTCGTTCTTGTGTCCAAATTGAAGCCCCGGAAATAAGCTTTCCCATGGTTCTAACCTCACATCCAAATTCAAAGTGTGGAAAAAGAAAAGGACAAAAGAGTGACGGCTGGTCGCAGACAAATCATTCTAATTCAAACTTTTAGTCCAATTTTACTTTACCATCATATTACCGCCTCAACCAATACTCCAAAATAAAATAGAAAGTTCCAAAACACTAATAAAAATGTCCAAAAATGAACCCCATAAATACAACTCAACTTGGAGACCCGCTCGAGCGCCCAACCTTGCGCTCGAGCGCGAAGACCAACAAAGACGTCCGCTCAAGCGTCAACTCCCCCGCTCGAGCGGAAAATCACAACTCCCAGAATCTCAGGCCGTCTGCACAATTTGCTGGAAACCCCAAAAGTACGCTCGAGCGCCCACTGCTCCGCTCGAGCGGAGGGAAAAAGTTCCAGATTCTATGGTAAAGGTCACAAATCCCAGTTTCAAAGGCATAACTCAACGGATCGTTCTTCAATTCCAATAGAAAACACATTAACCCCTACTTAAATAAGGCTAACTTTCTATACGCATTTTTGGGGTCGTTACAATAAACTTACCAGTCTCTCGAAGAAATCTTCATCGATGGAGGAATATTTGCTTCAGATCAAAACTATTTTTGATCAATTATCTCTCTCTGGATCTCCAATTGATGAAGAAGTTATGGTTCTTATCACCTTGAATGGACTTCCTACAGAATTTAATGCACTTAAGACCACAGTTCGTGCAAGAATTGAACCTATCACCATGTAAGAACTCTCTTCTTTACTCTGTTCTGAGGCTTTACACATTGATTCAGATACTAAGTCTTCAAGTTTTGATCTAACTGTTGCTTACTCTATCACCAAAGATCACAACAATCAACCTAGGTTTCAAAACCAGTCATCTTCTCCTTATCAAGGGAATCAAAATTAGTTTCGTAGAGGAAATAATTCTTCAAGAGGAGGTCGATTTCACGGCAATCGTCGAGGCCGATTTTCTAATTCCGGTCGACAATCTTTATCTTTTCCTTTTCTAGTTCTGGTGGTTCTAGTTTCGCTCTCAATTGTCAAATCTATGGCAAGCCAAATCATATAGCTCTTGATTGTTGGTTTCGAATGGATTCTTCTTACAATTTTGTGCCAAATTCCAACTCTCAGTCCAATTCTTCATCTCCTACTACGTATATGGCTTCTTCGTCTAATTCTCCTGCAAATTGATATGTTGACTCTGCTGCTACTACTCATGTTACCAAGGATCTCTCTAATTTTCAGCAGTATCATCCCTATCATGGATCTGATCATGTAACTGCGGGTAATGGTTCTACTGTTCCTATTATGCATACAGGCCAAGGTATTCTTCCTACTCCTTCATTTCCTTTCAAACTTCGTAATATGCTTCATGCTCTATCTATCTCTTCTAATCTTCTATCAGTTCATCAATTAGAAGATAACAATTGCTCTATCATATTTTATGATACTTCTTTTGTCATTTAGGACAAACATTCTAAGATTCCTCTATATAAAGGCTCTTACAGTAACGATCTTTATCAATTACCTACATGCTTGTCTAGATCTTTGCCTTTTCCTAGTTCTTCATCATCATCTGCATCTGTTCATGCTGCTGTATATGTTACATCTGTTCCTACTATTACTTAGCATCAACAGCTAAGCCATCCCTTCTCCCAGAAGCTTGATTTTGTTTTGAATAAATTTTATTTACCTGTTCATAAGTCTTGTACTAAACATGTTTGTACTCAGTGTGCTGTAGCTAAGTGTCACAGACTTCCTTTTACTTTGTCCAATTCCACTGTTAATGCACCTTTATCCCTCATCCACAGTGATGTTTGGGGTCTATTTTCCTCATCTAGTTCTGGTTTCAAATTTTATTTGTTGTTTGTGGGTGATTACAGTAAATTCTCTTGGGTGTATCCTCTTTCTTTTAAAAGTGAAGTGTTCTCCAAATTCAAAGAATTTAAAATTTTTGTTGAAACACAATTTTCTACTTCTCTTAAAGTGTTTCGCACAGATGGTGGGGGTAAATATACAGGGCATCAGTTTGAAAATTATCTCAAGTCTTATGGTATTTTGCATCAAATGTCTTGTTCTCATACACCTCCCCAAAATGGCGTGGCTGAAAGGAAACACTGCCATCTCATCACTACCACTATTACTTTACTTTACCAGTCTGGTCTTCCTCTTTCCTTTTGGTTTGACTGTCTTGTTACCTCTGTGTTTCTCATTAATCAACTGCCCTCTTCCAAGCTTCATAACATTACTTCTTTTGAAATGCTTTACCACAAAACCCTTGATTTTTCTTCTTTTAAGTGTTTTGGATGTAGGTGTTTCCCTTGGCTTCGACCTTATATTGCCCATAAGCTTCAACCTTGGTCCATTCCTCGCATTTTCATTGGTTATCATCCTTCTATAAAAGGATATAGATGTCTCAATCCTCTCTCCGATCGAGTATACTTATCTCGACATGTTATTTTTGATGAATCTGTGTTTCCTTTGGTTGATCATTCTATCACTTCTATTCCTTCTCCTACTCTTTCTCAACTTCAAACCTTTTCTGGCCACCCACTGGTTCCGCTCACTTTTCTGTTAATTCTTCCCTTCCTCTCTCATCTCCCCTACCTCGTAGTTCTCCTAATTCTCCTATTTCTCATTCTTTACCATCTTCATCCGCTTCTCCCTCTTCCACAGCCCCTATTCCTATTACTTCTCTTGTTGTTGATCTTACTTCTTATCCTCTTCAACCACCTCTTTCTAGATCTTCTCTTCCAGTTAACACTCAATCCATGCTTACAAAGTCTAAAGCCTATGTCTCTCATCAATCCCTCTTAGCTTCTACTATTCCTGATCCTGCTCTTATTGAGCCTCATTCTTTCTCAGATGGTTTTAAGACTCCTGTTTGGGCTGAGGCCATGAATGAGGAATATCAGGCTCTCCAATGACAACAGACTTGGCAATTGGTGCCTTTTCCTTCTGGTAAGCAATAGATTGGCTGTAAATGGGTTTTTCGAATCAAGAAGAACTCTGATGGGTCCATAGCTTGGCACAAGGCTCGACTTGTAGCTAAGGGATACCTTCAGACTGAGGGTATTGATTACCATGAAACCTTCAGTCCTATGGCCAAGTAGCCTACTATTTGGGTGTTCCTTAGTTTGGCTCTTCATTTTGCTTGGTCCATACGCCAGCTAGATATCTCCAATGCATTTCTTCATGGCATCTTGGAAAATGAGGTGTTTATGACTCAACCTCCCAGGTTTGAGGATTCTACTCATCCTTCTCATGTCTGTTTACTTAAAAAGGCTCTTTATAGCCTTAAGCAAGCCCCTCGCGCTTGGTATTCCACTTTTTCTTCTTTTCTGTTCTCTTGTGGCTTTATCAATAGAAAATGTGATTCTTCTCTTTTTATTCTCCATTTTGGTTCCTCTATCACTCTTCTTCTGGTTTATGTTGACGATATCCTTATCACTGGCAATGATTCTTCTCAAATTTCCTCTTTTTATCAAGCATATGCATTCAGCTTTCTCTATGAAAGAGCTAGAGTCTCTTTTTTACTTTCCTGAAATTGCTGTTCATCACATTGTTTTGGGTCTTTTTCTGTCTCAGTACAAATATGCCTCTGATATTCTGGCTAAAGCTGGTATGCTAAACTGTAAAGCCTATAATTCTTCTATGGCCACCAAGTCTAGTTCTTCCTCTGAGACCTCTGTTGCTTTTTCCCAGCCCTCTCTCTATTGCAGTATAGTGGGTGCCTTGCAATACCTTACGCTTACTCAGCCTGACCTCTCTTATGCTGTTAATTGTGCTTGCCAGTTCATGCATGCTTCCACAGTAACCCATTTCAATGTTGTCAAACAACTGCTCCGATATCTTCAGGGTACCTTATCTTATGGTTTGGTTTTTACTCCTGGTCCATTGACTCTTCATGCCTATTCCGACTCTAATTGGGCTGGTAGTGTCCTTGATAGGAAGTACACTACTGGATATTGTGTTTTTTTGGGTCCTAACTTGATCTCTTGGGCTACTAAAAAGCAGTGTACCGTCTCTCGATCCTCCACTCAGGCAAAGTACTGCACCCTTGCTCATACTATTTCTGAATTGACCTGGCTTCGCATGCTTCTCCGTGAGATTCATGTTCCCTCTATCTCTCCTCCTCTGTTATGGTGTGACAATTTATCTGCAATTTCTCTTGCCTCTAACCCGGTGTTCCATGCTCGCTCTAAGCTTATTGATGTCGACTATCACTTTATCCGAGATCAGGTTATGGCTAAGCAGGTTGTGGTCAAGCATGTGTCTTCCTCTGATCAGGTTGCTGACATCCTCACCAAACCTCTCCCTGATGCTCGCTTTTCTTTCCTTCAAGACAAGCTTATGGTTCGTCCCTCACCCATTTGCTTGAGGGGGCCTGATGAGATTCATACTAAAACAGATCAAATCAAACTAATAGAACACTGTAACAAAGGTGAAGAAGAGGTGTAGACAATCTATACTTGTAAATGGTTATTGTATCAGTTAGTTAGTTAGTTAATGAGTTGGTTAGACGGATAGATATAGTTTAGATATATAGCACTTGTGTGTATGTAAGAGGTAATGGATGTATGTTCAATATGGAATGAATTGAGATAATATTCAGTTTCTTTTCTTCTTTACTAATAAGACATAACGATGTTATTTCTGGTGTGCTGGTGCTCAACTAGGTCTTGAGATAATGAATTTAATTTTCCTTTTTTCTTTGGTAGGGTCCTAATAAGTGAAGCTATGTAATAACCATTTTGGTATTCAAAATTTTCAAAATTTATTTTCTCTCCGCTAAAGAAAAAACCATATTAGAATGATGATTTTCTTTATACTCATCAAATTAATTAGAAAATAAAAATAAAAATCAAATCAAACCAAACAAGGTGTTGGTGCTCAAGCAGTATAGCATAAATACATCAAATGTCTTAGGTTCAAAATTTCTTAAGCGTAAATAATTTCTTAGGACCAATTTATATAGGGTTTTTCCTCGGCTTTATTTAAGGACCCATCTAATGAATAATGGGATTGGTTCCCTAAATTAATTGATTCTGTAGGCCAGATTTTGAATTATCAAAAATAACATAAATACATCAATCAATTAAAGAAAAAGAGAAAATCTCAACTAGGGTCTTGAAGGGTCTTGAGATAATAAATTTATTAGAATATATAGTTAAGTTGTTGCGCATGCTTTGTGCTTTGATCAGCAAATCTCATTTTGGGCACAGATTTGAAGGATAAAGGGGACACCACCATGACCATATGACCATGTTTTGTGTTTAATAATACATAATATATAATATAAAATAAGCACTATTTATTTATCATTTCATGGTAGACAATACATAGTCACTCTTGATGAAGATAGATAGATAGGATAGTCTCCCCAAATGTCCATCATTCAGTTAGGTAACAGCACTAACAATCCTCCAATTTTATTTAAATTGTGAATTTGAGTAGAATTTTAAAAATAAAATAAAAAATCAGAAAAATGTTAATCTTTACTTAAGTTCATGATTCAAATAAAATTTTAATAAACTAAACTTAATCAAAAATCTTTGTATAACTGTTATATGTTTTTAGAAAAAATTATGACAGAAAATTCTAGAGTTTGATTTTGATAATAATTAAACTTTAAAATGTCAGTGATTACATGTTTGTTTTGGTGTATTTTTTCTTTTAGAGTTAAAAATTAATAATTAGAAATTAAAAGTTAAAAGTACTATTGCTTAATTTTAAAATAATTAATTTTTTCATATTTTTTTGGAGGACTTACTTGTAAGTCCTAATAGGTGGACTTATTATCTAATAGATCCTATAATAATTAATGGTATTTTTTATTAAACACTATTAAAAAAAAGGTCACTAATTGTTAATTTTCAATGACAATTTAAAAATTATCGCAAAAAATATCACTAATTATAAGTTTTAGCGATGGTTTAAAAAAATCGTCATAAAAAAGTCGATAATTTTCAATTTTCAACAATAGTTTAAAAATTGTCACATAAAAACGTCACTAATTGTAAATTTTAGTGACAATTTATAAAAATCGTGATAAAAAAAGTCACTAATTATCAATTTTTAGCGATATATGTAAAAAATTGTCACAAAAAATAATTTTTAATGACGATTTTACTCTAATTTATTTTTAATAAGACTTAATGAGAATTAAATTTAATTCTTAGGACCTATTGATAATTAATCGTATTTTTCAATTCTCTTTTTGCCCCATAAGATTACCAAAATAGATTAAAAAAAAGAAGAAGCAAACATTATAACATTGTAAGCAACTTTAATAACGGCACAAAACAGCACCTAATAACATTTAAGTCAGTATGAAAAATTGTGAAGCTTTGTAGTTTTTTGTCCTACTATGAAACACAATTGGAGGGAGGCACCAATATGGATATATGGGCACTCATATTGATTCCCACAATGTGGCAAAGAAGACTAAAGGGTTATTTTAGGAACATCGTTAAAAGTTTATTTTTTTTGGCTTTTTTATATATATATAAAAAAAAGTATAAAAAATATAGAAGATAATATGACTTAAAATGAATTAAAAGTTGAAAGATAACTTTTAACTATCTTTCTAAAATAACCCTGAGATTCAACCAAATATGCATTGCCTGCATTAAGATTTAAAACTTGTCATTTTCATTCACTACAAGAAAAAGCACATTTGGCGATTAAATTTTTAGTCACCAAAAGTCTGTTTTTAGTTGCCGAAAGTCGAGTTTTTACTTTCAGCGACTAATTTTTTTAGTCGCCCATTTTGTCGCGTACATATGGTCACCGGAGGTATTGGCGACTAAAATTTTTTTAGTCGGCAAAAAATAGCTCTTTAGCGACTAATCTTTTAGTCGCCAATAGTTCATGAATCGCCGACTAAACCGTTTAGTCGTCCAAAATAAACACTTTTGGCGACTAAAATTTTAGTCGCCAAAGGTGCTTCCGTGGAAAGAAAAAAAAACCAACTTTTTGCTTTTTCTGAGATTTGAACCGCCAACCTCTCCCGCATTCTAAACCTTTAACAATACACTCTCTCCACTATGCCACTACAACACCACATGAATATATATGCAACATATATTATTTATATACTATATTGACCCGTATTAATGTCTAGCTATATATATAAAAATAATTATTTTTATTCAATATAATTTATGTAAAAAATAAATTATATACTAAAAAAAAAATTAGATCACTTTTGGCAACTAAATCTATTTTTTAGTCATCAATTGTATAGTTTTTGCTACTAATTATATTTTAGTCGCTAAAAAAATTCATTTCCGCCAAAAAACCTCCACTTTTGGCGACAAAACTGAAATTTAGTCGCCAAAACCTCTACTTTGGGGGACTAAACTGCATTTTAGTCGGCAATTCTTGACTTTTAGCTACTAAATTTTTTTTAGTAGCCAAAAAGCTTCATTTTTGGCTACGAAATTGATTTTTGTCGTTAAAACACGTATAATCGGCGACCAAACTATTTTTTAGTCGCCAAAACCTATACTTTTGGCTACTAAATGTTTTCAGTCACCAAAAACCTTCTCTTTTGGCTACTAAAATTTTTTTAGTCGCTAAAACTCCTATATTTGGCAACTAAACTTAGTTTTAGTTGCTAAAACCTCTACATTTGGCTACTAAACTGTTTTGGTTGCCAAAAGTGACTTTTTGCGATTAATTCCATTTTAGTCGCCAATTCTGCTACTTTCAGCGACGAAAAATCTATTTTTTGTCGCGAAATCTGCTTTTTCTTGTAGTGGTTATTATGATTCCAAAATCCGATGCAGTGCGATGCATGTAATCCATACAATATTTCTAGGGTTTAATCTGGATAAGTATTTAAGAATAGCTAAACCTAGAGCCATATTATCCATCCAACTTTAAATTCCCAAACTCCCAATTTGATCAACTAGAAATGTTTGGTGGGAACTTTCAATTTCTAAAGAAAGGCGACTGTTGCTAAATTGGAGTATATATGGGAAAACAACATGTACTCAACTTTATTCTTATTTCTGGAGAGGTTGTTTCTGTGCAAATTGAAAAGCTGTCAATTTTGTGTTGCGTGTTGTGCAAAATTTTGATGGCTTGTAAATAAGACTTCAAGATATCTATGAACTTCAAACTTTTTCTTTCACTTTCTGGGTAGAAATAAAGGGGAAAGAAATGCCCGAAACGTTTGAAATTCTCACAAAACGAGAAAGCAAAGTTTTCTTCTGAACTGTAAAGCTTCTGTGGTTGTCATCCCATTCAGGAAAATATTATCTTCTTCACATTAACTATGGTATGATTCATATGGAATTCTTCGTGATATATATCTCTGACTATACTGATATTAAGAGCTCTTAACAATAATATCAGAAATACTACAATATATGTAAAACTATATATTTTTCAGTTGGTATCAATGGAGGCTATTAGCAACACCCTAATAAATATTAAAAAATACATTTAATCAATACAAAAAAAATCTTCTTTTTTTAAGTAGTGTGTAGTGAGATGGCTCCTTTCTTCATAAAAATATCACTCACCTATTTCTTTTCTTTTTTTCTTTTTTACCAAGCGCTTCTAATTAATTATTTATTTATTAATACACACATCATAAAAAATAAATTAACAAAATTAGTATCAACGTAATGTTGGGATTTTAATATTCTGCTAAAGGACAAGAAGAACAACACGTGTAATTGCCAAAAGTTACAAGAAAATAGACAGTTTCAATTTGTTTTTCTTCCTTTTTTTTCTTTTTATTGAGTCTAATTTATGTGATTTATTAATACAGCAATGAAAAAATTCAATCATATTGGAGACCAAAAATACTTAGAAACTCTAATTAGAGTTGTCATTAGTGATGTGATGGTAGGTCCCATCTATTGTTACTATCAATTTTATTTTATTTTTTTTATCTTATTCAAAATGTGTTTAGAATCTTTAAATTAGAAATTTTCAGCATCACTGTATTGGAGACACGAGGAACATATAAACCAGTGGGTTTTTACTCATGGACAAAGTCAAGATATTGCTGTTAACTGGGCATATGGGATGTCACATCAAATCTTATATAGTGGGAATGGACTGTGCTTAGATACATTTCTCCATTTTCTATATATAAAAACAATTATAATTAAGAATAATTGTTAAAAAGTCTAACTTAAATGGGTATAAGGTATTAGTAAATATTTTTTATTGATGAAAAATTTATTTTTTGTGAAATAATTTGATGATAAGTCATTTTATTTATTTTTAAGGCCTTTTTGTTTCTCATCTTACCTTTCTGTTTGTTGAATTTTTTTTTATTTGTCAAAATTTTTTTATTCTATCTGTTGAAAATCTATTTGTGTGAAATTCTTGTATGTTGCAATTCTTGTCCTATTTTTTCCTATCTGTTTGAAATTCTAGTTCTAATTTTCCTACTTGTTGAAATTCATCACACAAATTTGTTTAAATTCACACATGGA